TCCTTTCCAATTTGTATCCCCTTGATCTCCTTCAACTGTCTTATTGCTCTAGCAAGGACTTCTAGCACTATGTTGAAGAGATATGGAGAGAGTGGGCAGCCTTGTCTTGTCCCTGATTTCAGTGGGATTGCTTTAAGTTTCTCTCCGTTCAGTTTGATGTTGGCTATAGGCTTGCTGTATATTGCCTTTACTATGTTTAGCTATGTGCCTTGTATCCCTGATCTCTCCAATACTTTAAACATGAATGGATGTTGGATCTTGTCAAATGCTTTTTCAGCATCTAGGGAGATTATCATGTGTTTTTTTTCTTTCAGTTTGTTAATATGGTGGATCACATTGATGGATTTCTGTATATTGAACCACCCCTGCATACCTGGGATGACGCCTACTTGGTCATAGTGGATAATATCTTTGATGTGTTCTTGGATTCGGTTTGCAAGTATTTTGTTAAGTATTTTTGCATCAATGTTCATAAGGGAGATTGGCCTGAAATTCTCTTTCTTTGTTGAGTCTTTGTGAGGTTTAGGTACTGAGGTGACTGTGGCTTCATAGAATGAGTTTGGTAATGTTCCTTCTGTTTCTATTTTGTAGAATAGTTTGAAGAGAACTGGAGTTAGCTCTTCTTTGAAGGTCTGGTAGAATTCTGCGCTGAAGCCATCTGGTCCTGGGATTTTTTTGAATGGGAGACTTTTGATGACTGCTTCTGTTTCTTTGGGGATATAGGACTATTTAATTGATTTACCTGGTCCTGATTCTGCTTTGGTAAGTGGAATCGATCAAGAAAATTGTCCATTTCATTTAGATTTTCAAATTTTGTGGCATATAGACTTTTGAAGTAAGTCCTAATGATTGTTTGGATTTCCTCAGTGTCTGTAGTTATGTCCCCCTTTTCATTTCTGATTTTGTTGATTTGGGTGGTGTCTCTCTGCCTTTTAGTTAGCTTGGCTAAGGGTTTGTCGATCTTGTTGATTTTTTCAAAGAACCAGCTCTTGGTTTCATTGATTCTTTGAATTGTTTTATTTGTTTCTAATTGATTGATTTCAGCCCTGAGTTTGATTTTTTCCAGCCTTCTACTCCTTTTTTGGTGTGTCTGCTTCTTCTTTTTCTAGGGTTTTTAAGTGGGCCATTAAGTTGCTTGAATGAGCTGTCTCGAATTTCTTCTTGAAGGCACTTAGTGCTATGAACTTTCCTCTTAGCACTGCTTTCATTGTGTCCCATAAGTTTGGGTATGTTGTGTCTTCATTTTCATTGAGTTCTAGGAAGACTTTAATTTCTTTCTTTATTTCTTCCCTGACCCAGCTGTCATTTAGTAACAAGTTGTTCAGTTTCCATGTGTGTGTAGGCTTTTTGCTCTTTCTGTTGTTGTTGAAGTCCAGCTTTATTCCATGGTGGTCAGACAAGATACAAGGGATTATTTCAATCTTCTTGTATCTGTTGAGGCTTGCTTTGTGACCAACTATATGGTCTATTTTGGAGAAGGTTCCATGAGGTGCTGAGAAGAAGGTAAATTCTTTTGTGTTTGGGTGTAAAGTTCTGTAAATGTCTGTGAGGTCCATTTGATTCATGATCTCTGTCAGAGATATTGTTTCTTTGTTCAAGAGAGTGGAGTGTTGAAGTCTCCCACTATTAATGTGTGGGGATCTATATGTAGTTTAAATTTTATCAGTTTCTTTTACAAATGTGGGTGCTCTTGTATTTGGGGCATAGATGTTCAGGATTGTGATGTCTTCTTGGTGGAATTTTACCTTGATGAGTATGAAGTGTCCTTCCCCATCTCTTTTTATTAATTTTGGTTGAAAGTCTATTTTATCAGATATTAGAATGGCTACTCCTGCTTGTTTCTTGGGTCCATTTGCTTGGAAAGTTGTCTTCCAACCTTTTACCCTCAGGTAATGTCTATCTTTGTGCCTTAGGTGTGTTTCTTGTATGCAACAGATTGCTGGGTTTTGTTTATGTATCCATTCTGTTAATCAGTGTCTTTTTACTGGAGAGTTGAGTCCATTGATGTTGAGAGAGATTAATGACCAGTGGCTGTTAGATCCTTTGATTTTGATGTTGGCTGTGGTTATAAGGTTGTGTGCTTGGTTGCTTTTTGTTTTAGTGTAGTAAGGTTAATTATTTCCTGTGTTTTCTTGACAGAAGCTAATTTTCTTGGGTTGTATTTTCTCTTCCAGTGTGTTCTGTAATGCTGGATTTGTGTGTAGGTATTGTTGAAATTTGTTTTTGTCATTGAATATCTTGTTTTCTCCGTCTATGAGGACTGAGAGTTTTGCAGGGTATAGTAACCTGGGCTGACAACTGTGTTCTCTTAGGGTCTGCATGATATCTCTCCAGGCCCTTCTGGCTTTCATAGTTTCTGTTGAAAAGTCAGGTGTGATTCTAATGGGTTTGCCATTATATGTTACTTGGCCTTTTTCCCTTGCAGCTTTTAGTATTTTTTCTTTGTTCTGTATACTTACTGTTTTGATTATTATGTGGCGGGAGGATTTTCTTTTCTGGTCAAATTTGTTGTGTGTTCTGTAGACCTCATGTATTCTTATTGGCTTCTCCTTTAACTTGGGGAAATTTTCTTCAATGATTTTGTTGAAAATATTTTCTGGGCCTTGGAGAAGGGAGTCTTCTTTTTCCTCTATACCTATTATTCTTAGGTTTTGTCTTTTCATATTGTCTTGGATTTCTTGGATGGTCTGTGTCAGGAATATTTTGGATTTAACATTTTCATTTTCATTGACAGATACATCAATTTCTTCCATTGTATCTTCTACACCTGAGATTCTTTCTTCTATCTCTTGTAGTCTGTTGGTTATGCTTACCTCTGTAGTTAAAGATATGAAACACTTCACGAATTCGCGTGTCATCCTTGCGCAGGGGCCATGCTAATCTTCTCTGTATCGTTCCAATTTTAGTATATGTGCTGCCGAAGCAAGCACGGGAGATTTTCTTAAAGATAGTCTCAGGGAAAGTGCAGTAAATTTTTGTCATTTTTTTTAAACTACTAAAGTTCTTAGTGCTTAGATTCCATACAGATAGCTGCTGTTTCAAGTCCTAATTCTGAAGAAAGCAATAAAATTTTGAAAAAATTGTCATTATAATGTGACAACAAATAACTTGAAAATTAATTTGTAATTACAGAAAAGGTTTGGATTTGGATGGGAGAGGAGTTGGGAGGATTTCAGAGGAGTTGGGGGAGGAGAAAATGTAATCAGAATATATTATATGAAAAAAATTTATTTTCAAAAAAAATTAAAGGAAAAATTTTAATATATTTGTAATTATTTTAATTCAGCTCCTTTGTATTAGCATGTCTTATGCTAAAGTATAAAAATAAGTAACATATTTGAACATAATTTAGATTATATTACCCTTAAGGATAACTTAACTGCCAAAATGTTAAGTATGAAGAATATTACCTAAGAACTCACATTTCCCAGTATCAGAACCTGCTACAAAGCAGTCATTAAGACAGTGTGGTTCTGGCATAAAGACAGACACAGCTCAGTGGCATTAAGGGTTCAGAAACGAGCCTTTACTTTTATGGTCTTTACTTCTGACAGGGGCACCAATACTGATCAAACAGTGTAGAGTCAGTTGTCCAGAGAGTACTGGAGCAGCTGGTATCTGCAAGGAAAGAGTGATGTTAGACTTTCACTTTATGTCACACAAGAATCAAAATGGATCAGAGACCCGAATATAAAGAGGGGGCCATAGGTTTAAGTCTTTCCCATCATGCCTCAGGTAATGCTTTACAAGTCTAATAGCAACGGATCAGCAGACAGGAGCATTAGGGAAGTTGGATTTCCCTCCATTTGAAAACACATATGTTTATAAGAACAGTCAAGAAACAAAAAGGACAAGTAAATGACAAAATACTTGTGAATCATACATGTTTATAACATAGACATGTTTTTGTCTAGAGTATATAAGCAGTTACAACCCAACAACACAAGGGCAAACCAATTTTAAGATGTGAAACTGATGAGAATAAATATTTCCCAATGTGATCATAAAAAGATAGTATCATTAGTCATTTGGGAAATTAAAGTCAAATCTATAATGAGATACTTTTAACAATTTGAAAAAAAATGCTCATTTATCCACTAGGCAGCCATAACTACAGGCGTTATTAAATGTTGATGCTAGTATATGGAGAAATGGGAACTCTCCTACTGCGTGGTGTTGTGAAACAGTACATGCTCCTTAGGACACCCATATTCTGATAATTCTTTAGACTCTTAAAAATAAAAACAGCTGAATGGCCTTGCACTGCCCCTCTTAGGTTTAGGCTCCCAAACTGAAAACATGTGTTCACACAAAAACATAGACGCAGCTGCTCATAGTAACATCATTCGTAACAGTCAGAGTGGGGAAACAAACCAAACGTCCATCAGCTTTTGAGTGGGCAAACAAATATGGAATAATCTTGGAATGGAATATAGTTCTTGCCATTTATTATAATCCCTGCCATTGGAATTCAAGTCTGTCTTTGAAAGAGGCCATTCCTTACATTAAAGCTACTAAAAGAAAAATTTTAAATTATCAATCAGACTCTTCAGCTACACATTTCTAAAATCTCTTCTGTTTGGTTTTAAAGGTATATTTATTTTCATATGGTGAGTATGGGTGTTTGCCTCCATGTGTGTATAAGTGTACCATGTATGTGCCCGGTGTCCACTGAGCCCAGAAGAGGGCATCGGACCTGGCGTAACAGTTGTGAGCCATCATGTGGAAGCCAGGACCTAAACCTAGATCCATAGCAAGTGTTCTTAACTGCTGCTTCATCTCTCCGGCCCCAGCCCATAATATTTAAAGACGAATATATGAGGTGATGATGTATGAGAAGCATTTTACTGTCGTATGAAAGGTGCTTTTAGGCTTTAGTTTGACAGGAGGAGCCCAGCACCCCAGTGAGAAGTCCTCAGAAGTGTACAATGGAACAGCCTCAAGGTTGCCACCACAAGTGTTGTAAATGATATAAAACAAAGTTGTGTTTTATTTTATAGAAACAGCCAGACACTTGATGAAGATGATGTATTGAGTGAGATGCACAAGTCCCCTGTGATTGATTTACCTGATAAGACAACCAGTGCCTCACAGCTGCAAGGAAGCCCCAAAATAACCAAGACCAAGTGTTCTGCCATAGATCCCATGGTGAGAAACTTAAGAAGCACCATTCCGATGTGGCCTTTATTTCAAGGAGATAAAAGACAACTGAAGTCATGTGTGTTCTTGTGCCTTGTGGCGTTGGTCTGCTTTTGTTGTTTTTAAGTTAGTCTATAGAGAACATCATACTAGGCTAACACTTAAACTAATAGGTAATGAATATCTGGTGGGAAATTTAACAGTTGTGGATAGCTATATTAATGCTGATTTTCTTCAAAGTAAATGATTTTACAGATTCACTAAGGTTGCCTGGTCACCTTCCGGAGTTAATTTATGGCTGCTCTTTTAGTCCTCTTCAGGGGAGTCCAGAGACTTTGGAGGGCACCAGTCACACCCTGCACAGAGGAAAAGAATTCTCCCAGCTTGGATGTTAGCAGAAAGTTTAAGTGATCAAAACCTTTCAATAGCTGGTAAAGGTGGAGGTAGGTTTCTGGTTTTGCTAATGTTGAATTTCAAGGAAATGTTAAAGACGATTTGAAGGCTTTTATGAGCAAATAGATGTCGAGTGGGGCTGCACATGTTATCGGTTAGCCTGGGACTTAAATTCTCTTCTCTGTATTTATTATTTTGAGAAATGATCTTAAACTTGTTATGCCCCTGCCTCAGTTTCTTGAGTGCTGGGGTTACAGGTGTGGGCTTGCATGCTTGCTAATCTAAGATTTACTTTTAAATACATGTAGAGTATAATTAAACCATAAGCTGTTTACTTTATGGCATTTGTCAAACAGCATTCTCCCCACTGATGTCTTGTTGAGCATGTAGTATTTCTCTGTTATTGCTAGATGCACTGCTAATATTAGTTCTTAGGTGAGCCTGTTGGTGTCATCATATCTGAAGTGAGAGGGCACCACACCTAGAATATTTAAAACTAATTAAATAAAACAATGCCAGGTACACAGTGTTTGTGCTACGAGGTTCAAGGACACGTGATCCTTGTCCTGGTCCAGCTTACTGGCATGGCAGATACTTCAGTGATACATGTCTTTCTGCTGGGTAGCCATTGTTTCAGCATTTTTAAGATGCTAAACAATGATGCTTTGTCCTTTTCAGTGTAAGGCCTAGGTTTCCTCCATAGCCCTGTAAAACCTCACAGCAACTTCTGCATTGATGTTGTTCACTGACTCCATTAGGCTTGTATGTTAGCTCTCATAGGTCTTTGTGGAGGTTCTAGATTTCACTCTATGAGCAGCACTGTCTGTGTATATAGAATTTTACTTCTTTCCAGTTTGGCTTTAAGATTTTCTTCATTTCTTTCTCTTTTTATCCAAGTGGTCTGCAATTTTGTCCAGTATACTTTTGACAAGCATTGGTAATAGCAAACATTTTTTCTTAGTTCTGGTAGAAATACCTTTTCCCTCATGAAATTTGTTAATAAAATTACAACTTAAAGGTTTTAAGTTATTCTTTTTTTCATATTGAAGTTCTTTTCTGTGATTTTCTCAAGGTTTTTGTATCAACAAATATTAAAGGTAAGTACTTTTCTTATACATCACGAGGATTTTGAATATCAAATCAGCCTTGTCTTCTTGGACAAACCTCTCTGATTCTGGAGCTTTTTGTTGTTGTTTTGAGTTCTAGGCGTTGAACGCAGGGCCTTACTTGCTGGGCACATTTTGCCTCAGCTACATCCTTAGCAGATTTTCTCTTTTTTCACCTCCCTTTCATATGTTAAGGATTTTAAAAATTACTTTGCTGAGTAGTGTTGTGCTATAATTTTATTTTCATGTAAAGTCTTTTTAGGGGTTTTAATGTAATTGCTGGTCTGGTAAGATGCATTGAGAAGTGTTACTCTTCTCTGTTTCTTTCAGAAGGTTATCCCAGCTCTGCCTGCTATAGTAGAGTTCTGCAGCCTAGGTGGCCTAAGTGACATTTACTTTCTCACAGTTCTGGTGACCAGGAATCCAAGATCAAGGGGTCAGCATTGTGGCTTGCTGATAGCTGATTTCTCTTTGTATCTTGTCACACACACATGCACACCCTCTGTCTCTGTTTCTCTGTCTCTCACTGGTGGGTAGGAGAGCAGAGATCTAGTATCCTCTTCTCTTAATGGGCAGTGATCCCACTTACCAGGGTCCCATCCAGGTGACCTAAATGCCCCCCACAGTCACCACTTCTTATAGCAGTCACGTGAGGATTAAGGCACAATCACATAGGAATTTTGAGATGTTACAACTATACCATTTGCAGCAAATTCCCAGTGTCACTACTCTTGTGCTTTGGAGACATTTTAAATAAAGTAGGTGGCTTGGATGCAAGCACTACAACACAAGAGTTTGGTTTGATAATGAAGATACATTAATATGAATATGCTTAAGGAAAAGGGAGCAGGATAGACTTCAGCATACTACTCAGAAGAACATGTAATTCAAAATGGATGAACTAGCCTGGTGTGGTGGTGTACGCCTGTAATCCCAGCAGGCAGGGAGGCAGAGGCAGGCGGATCTCTGTGAGTTTGAGGCCAGCCTGGTCTACAAAATGAGTCCAGGAAAGCCAAGGCTACACAAAGAAATATTGTCTCAAACAAAACCAAAAACAAACATCAAAATGGATGACCTTTCTATTTCTAGCTTTATATGAGTCACATTTTAAGGTCCTGAAGACCCAAGGAGAAATTAGTTAGCAAGGCACACAAAGTCTTCCCTTGGGGAGCTCTCACTACAGTGTAGCGGACACAATCAGCCCCGGATTTTCCTCTTACAATACAAGACTGTTTCATCTTTTTGGATTAAGATGATTATGAATTTGTAGACAAAATGCGATATTTACTGAGATTTACTCACTATATTGAATTTTGATAACAATGTCCATTGTTACTGAAGCTTTTTTATTTAAAAAGTATAGAGGGCATAATCTTTCTGAGGTTTTGAAGTTTTAAACCTATATTTGAAATAAGTTGGATTCCTAACTCAGTGGTGGGCCTTCCGAAGTTAAAATTCATTGGATTATTCAGACAGCTTTTCTGTTTGAGAAAATTAATGCTACAATTTAAAACAATTGTAACTAATGTGACCCTCTATTAGGTCACACCTTTGCTCATTTCCTTTTAGTGACTTCCAGTTCTTACCGTTTCCACTGTGCAGATGTGAGCAAGTTCTGAGAGTTGTGGCAAATAGTTACAGTGGGCCCTGCGTGCAAGCTGGGCAGGGTGCTCAGCCATGTGCTGCTTAGTGCTGTTGGAGATTTGTAGACAAGTGTTTCCCAGTGGGCAGTACTGTAAATGTAATTTTGACTTTGCAGGTATCACTCAGAGGCATAATCCCTAAAGATAGGGTCTCTCACTGAGGCTGGAGCTTGCTGGGGATTGGCTTCACTGGCTGCCAGCAATCCCAAGTGATCTTTCTGTCTTTGCCTCCCTCCCATCACAGTGCTGGGGTTGCAGGCCCACAAAGCCATCCTCCCCCCTTTCTTTTCTTTCTCATTTTGGTGCTGGGTATCCAAACGCAGATTCTTAAACTTGTGTAGCCAGTTATCCTACCCACAGGGAGCTGTCTCCCGGCCTGTGAGTCACTTGCTCTTTCATTCCTTTTGGCCATGTGGAGTATTGACCTTTGAAGATACAGGAGCACTTTTCTTCTTGTTCTTTTGTGTGTGTATGTTTGTGTGTGTTAGATAAGGATGTCATCCAGACGAGTGGAAAAGAAGAAACCTGCGAAGATGAAACCCAGGTAAACACACCGTGGCAAGGGAGGAAGCGGTTATCTCCATCAGGAAGTTCAAAAAGTGTCTCAGCAGAACAAGATCCTGGGAAGAAAGGCAAACGCTCTGATCAAGAAGGACCAGTTGTTTCATCCAAGGTGATTAGGAATGTGTTGTTTCTTTTCTTTGTTTGGTATTTGAGATAGGAATTACTGTTCCTTTAGATAAGATCAAGTGAGAAATGAATCATATGCTGGATTTATAAAAAACCTAAACTGCCTTTTATTCTTGTGTTTATGTAGATAAAAACTAGCTCAATATTTTTTTGCTTTCTGAAACTAATTTTTAACAGAGAGTAAGAATTTGCATTGTACAATACTATTTCAGACTAGAAAAAGGTGGAGACCTCTGGTGCTGGTTTTAATTTGGCCTCTGTTCTGAATGCCTGGTGGCTGTCACCTGTGGACTTCGTGTAACCATGATGAGGAGAACAGGGGGTGGCAGCTGTCGATCTTCACAGTGCCACAGGGGCACTCTGCTGTGGCTCTTAGAGTGACTGTAGACCTCTTTCCTCTGTATACCAGTCCTCTAGAATGGTTTGGCAGAATTGACATTTCTTGATGCTGGATATTTAAAAAGAAATGAGGCCTGTTTATAACATGAAGTTTTTTATTTATTTTTTTAAATTATTTATTTCCATTTTATGTGCATTTGTGTTTTGTCTGAATGTATGTCTGTGTGAGGGTGTCAGATCTTGAAGTTACACACAGTTGTGAGCTGCCATGTGGGTGCTGGGATTTGAACCCAGGTCCTTCTGGAAGAGCAATCAGTGCCCTTAACCACTAAGCTATCTCTCCAGCCCGAAGTTTTTTATTTTTATTTTTTAACTTGGAAGCAATAGCACATTTTATTAATATAAACTAGACTTAAAACACCACTGATTTTATTTCTTCTTTAGGAATTTCATATAATATATTCCCTCTTCTCCTCCCATGGTCACCCTCCCCATCCTTCTCTCCCTCCCCACCTACCTGAGCTTTCTTCTCCCTTGACCCCCATCAAGTCCACCTGTGTTGTACACAGTATTAGGAGTGAGGCCCTGATGTGTGGTTGACCTACCCGGGGTCATGTCACTGAAGAAAACTGGCTCTCTCTCCCTGTAGTTACCAGTGCCAAGAGCTCCTCTTTCATCCCCCCCCCCCCCCCCTTGCTGGATTCTGTGTGGCCTGAGCTTACACAGGACTTGTGTATACAGATACAGACAGAAAGTCCAGGCATTTTTCTTCCTTTGGGGTGGTAGCGTAAGGTGACAGTTCTCGTGGACTTACAGGGCACTGGCTGAGCTCTGTGCTCTCTTAGTCTCAGGAAGCCAGGCTGTTGCACTTGTTTTAAAACTATTTTATTTGGAGTATTTAAGCCTCCACCTCCTTTCCACCAACCGTTTAACCCTAGGTAAGAGAGAGGTTAGTGGGGAAAGGGGACGCAGACCCCTTTACTTCTACTGGCTGTTTAGGGTTGATGGGTTCTTTTGGGGCTCTTCTAATCTCCATCAACAGCAAACACAACAAGCAGTCTCCTCTAAGCCACTGCCTTGAAACGTTTCTCTCTGCCTCCTCCAAGCTGCTGCAGTGGTCTCTTCAAACTGCCCCCTTCTCTTTCTGGGCTCTAGTATTTATATCCCTCAGCATCCTATACCACACCCCTCTCCATGCTGCAGGAGGCAGGCCATGACCAGCTGGCAAAGACCACGCCCTGCAGGAGGCAGTTAGGACAAACTAAAGCCCAAACCAAAATCCCATGCTTGGGATTAAAACAAAATGTTGAGTTTTTAAAGAAATCAAAATTTCCTTTACACCAGGCTGGTCCTGCCCTGCAAGAGGGTACACTGGGTCACTGAAATGTCAGCAGCTGTCCCAGAGGTCAGTTTTATAAACCTCCTTCGTTCCCAGCCTCCTCTCTTAGGCAGAGATCAGACTCCCTAGCACTTCTCCCAGCCAGAGAAGTGGATCCACTTGCAAAGATGCAGCATCTTTGCTTACTGATTGGGTCAAGTGTAATCATAGATAAACTGTAAATCTTACTAAAGTACAACTTGTCATATATTAACTTCTAGCCTTCTTATACTCTATTTGAACACTGAGCATATCAGTTCACTTTGTCTATTTTATAAGAAATTATTTAGTTCCAATGAGAATCTAATATATGTTTTAATGTACTTTACCCTAAGTTTGATAATTCTAAGAAAGACTTTAACAAATATCGTCTTAGCTCATAGGTCGGACGGAAGAAGTAAGCAGGTCTGAGTTGTTGAAAGTGTTTGTGGAGACTTGATGACATCAAGAGCGTGTAATAGATGCAGGAGGCACCTGAGAGCTGCACTTGGCTGGTTGCTCTCCATTAAGGGTCCCCAGAGAGTTTTACCTCTCTTTGCTCAGTAGGAAAGAGGCCGAAGCCTCTGTGCTAGACTCTAGTGAAGTTGAGCCAGCGATCATGGCTGATGCTGAAGCCCCAAGCCGGACCTGGCCAAGCCCACTCTCCATGTCTGCTGGCTTCGGTCTTAGGTCTTATCCCTGGATAGCAGCCAATCCTGATGTGATAGCACAGTGGAGAGCAGTGAGTCAAGGTCACTATGAGAGAAAGTAATAGGCTGGCTGGCTCATCTGGTGATGGACGCTGCCTTACAAGAACTCAGAGCAGTTGTCCAGTACAGCAGACATTTTCTTAGGAAGACAGAAAAATGCACTGGAGAGAAGGGACAGAAATCATCTCCTGGACCCTTTCCTGAGGTTTGAGTCATCCAGCCCTTGGCTGGTTTATAGTCCCCTAAGCACGCCTGCAGCGTGGACATGCCCTAAGGGAGGAGAGCTGTGGCGCCATCCTTCAGCACCTGGTGGAAACTGACGCCCAAGCCACACTGCCAGGAAGCTCTGGCCTCAGAAGTGGATGCTTTTGTGCACAGTGGATTTTCTATTGTGCACATTAGACTGTGAGCGAGTTTTGTGACTAGCACTCTTCACTTTACGAAGTTAATTGTTCGGTTATAGTCCAGAATTTTGTCAGTCCTCACGGTCTTCTGCAGTCCTTTCTGGCTATGTAACAGTCCAGCTTATGGCCAAAGTGAGGGCTCTTGAACCGATCGGTGTCCCTGATGTGGTTTGGATGTTCTTGTTGCCTCTGAAAATCCACATGGAAGCCTTCTCTCCCTGTTCCGTAGCCTTTGCAGGTGCCACAAGAGGATACAAGGGCTCATCCTCTGTGCCTTCTGTCATGCCAGAACACGTGTGCCATCTCTTCCCTTCTGGCCTATGAGGACAGAGTAGGAAATCCTGCATCAGATGCCAACAACTTACAGCCTTCCCAGAACCCAAAACTGAGAGAGTATATTTTTGTCATTTATACATGATCTAGTCTGTGATATTCAGTTACAGTAGCACAGAGATGAAGACAATAGTGTTTCTTCTAGTTAATCTAGTTAGATCTAGTTTAATCTAGTTAGAACTGTCCCTGCAGCAGAAGGAAGCGTAACCAAAACAACTGCTGCAAAATAGTATCATAAAGTTATTAGTTATTGCTTGCTGACCAGAGCAAGCCCAACACTTAATCACTAGCACAACAATGACTTATTATTTGTCACAGATTCTGAGTTGGCTGGGCTCAGTTGGACACTTTTTATGGCACATTTTTTGGTAGTGACTGGAGCACTCTAAGTGACTGGGCACATGAACGGTGCCTGTACAAGGACTGATGGAAGACCTGAGCTGCCTCTGCTTTCCTCCCTCCATTTACCGTTAGATAGTTGAGACTAAATGCCTGACCGCTGTATCCCAAGAGGGCAAAGTTCAAAGCTTCCATATCAGAAAACTGTGGAAGAGGGGGAGGGAAGGATTGTAGGAGCCAAAGGGGTCAAGGACAAGAAAGCCCACAGAGTCAACTGATCAGGGCTCACAGGGGCTCACAGAGACTGAACTACCAACCAGAGGGCCTGCATGGGACAGAGCTAGGCCCTCTGCACATATGGTGTAGTTTTGTGTAGCTTGGTCTTTTTGTGGGATCCACACAGTGGGAGCAGGGGCTCTCTCTGACTGTGTTGCCTGCTTTTGGTACCTTACTTCCTATTGGGTTACCTAGTCTAGCCTTAAAAGTAGAGGAGGGAAAACCTCCTGTGCCATGGCTGGTTGATATTCATGGGAAGCCTGCCCTTTTCTGGAGCGAGAGAGGATGGTTGGGGGAAGAGGAGAGGTGGGGGAGAAGGTATATATCCTGTGGTCAGGATATAAATATATATATACAAATATAGATATATATTAATAAATACAAGAAAATATATGTTTATAATATAAATGTATATTAATATATAAATATGTGTATGCATATATAATTTTGGCTCAAACTAAAAAAGAAAAGAAAAATCAGCTTAAGTACTTGTCAGGGTTCCAGGATGAAGTTTAAATGTGTTATGACAAGATATTAGGTCTTTGGATATTATTAAGAGAATTCTTGTTCAAATGCTTTTGTGGAATCAGTATTTTCTTCCTTCTGTATTTCTTTTTCAAAGTCAGAAAGCTCGTAAAACTGAACTAAGATACTGTGTTTAAACAACAACAACAAATCTGCCAGATGACTTAAGGCCTAGGACCAGGCTTGGTGTAATGCCACATGTGCTGCAGTTTTTGGTCACAGAAAGTTACGAGTCCCAGGTAGACGACAGGGTAAGTAGGAAAGCAAGGGAAAACAAATACATTCTGAGAATCCCTAATTCAAAAGTGAAAAAATTAAAATACCTCAAAATCTACAACTTTTTGCATACTGACAAATTTCTGAACGTGGGACTTGGATAGCATCACATTTTGATGCGCAACTGTAAATCTTTAGAAATACTCCAAATTCCAAAAACTCAGATATCTTAAGTATTTCTGGTCCTATGCATTTTGGATAAGGGACTGTTAGTCAACTGTTGTCCTTAGAAATTTGGATATAAGGAAGGGCATTCATTTAAAATTAAAGCCAGCAGTAGGGACCTTCAAAGTAGGACCACAGATCCTTTTAGCTCTCTAGAGGGAGATTGGAAGGGGCAAAGTAAAACTTCTGAGATAGGGACAGAAAATTACAGTCATAGTGAGAGGATGAAGAAATGCAGACTTTGAGCCACCTGGGGAAG